TAGGCACTTTATCAAGGAAAAGCTGGAAGTAAGAATTATTGAAGTTCCTCATGTTCGGTCTCAAGATCAGCTTGCCGATGTGCTGACCAAGGCAGTGTCTAACCAAGTGTTGTAGATTTTCGTAAGTGTACGAAATCGTGCAAGTAACAAAGTGTAAGAATACGGATGTCGAACCCAAGGGAATTACTAATACCAAGTACCACACTAACCTATCTTATTGCTATTTGATTAATTAGATTTTCAGAATGATTCAATGAAAATTAAAACAACTTAGAAACAAAACAAAAAAACAATCTTTTGTTAATACTTTAGTAGGAAATCAATATGACTAAACCTAGGGCATAGATTTCACACCAATTGAATCCTATGCATTGACAATTATCGTTAACCCAATTAATTTTATTATAAAGGCCAAACTTCCTAATATTTCGCTAACTTTTTCTCAAACAATTAACAAATTAACTCCTAATTACTAACCCGAGTTATCTCTAATCAGATTTAAGCAATTGGAGATCATTAAGTTCTATGAAATTTACCAAAGCCTCACAGATCATGGTAACCTATCTCTAGCGTTCGCTCAATCTATGGTTTTATTATCTTAAACTAATTAGGTTTCATCTCTCGACCTCAACCTAACCCATAAAAATATTCAACTCTAGGGCCCTTAAGAATTGAAATCTTTAAGTGCAATAATAAGACTTAAAACAAAACTTAATAAAAATTAGCAACAAATAATTCAATGCATATTCATAAAATTGGGCTACATCTTAACCCTATAAAATAAAATTAGTTCATACTTTTAGTATAAAAGCCATTGTATTCATAAACATGAGTATAAGAAAGAGTAGAAAAACTTCTCTAATTGGTGACTCAAAATTGCAGGAATTTGCAATCTCCAAAGAGCAGCTGAACTTCTCTCCCCTTCTAATCTCCCTGAAAATCAGTTAAAGACATCCATTTATACTCCTAGGGTTTTAGGGTTATGATTCTCACTATCCTAATCACTTTAGAACTCTTAAAACAGGAAATACACGTCATAAATCTAATGTAAAAAAACCCAGAATCACAGTTGTGCCACGGCATTGTGCCTAGGCATAGTTGATTCTGCCCTAAAACTTGCAATCTTAAAAAGACGGTGGTTTTGAGCATGATAACATTTGAATCTTGTCAAGTGGTAAACATATGAATTGTAACCCTTTGAATCAGCTTTCTAACGGTTCAAGAATCATCTCGATCAAAGTCTATAGCTCAAGTTATTGATGAATTACTATCGCATGTTCAAAACTAGAGCTTTTTCTAGGATTTTTACTTTTACTTCAAATCTCCATAACTTCTTCGTTTCAGCTCCGAATCACAAACCATTTGATTCTTGTCGTCCCACATTCCATCTTCGATATAACCTTCATCTGAATATCATCTTTAAGAACCTGAAAACACTCAAAACATACTCGTGATCCCATAAAAGACATTTATGAAAAAATTAAGTTAAATTTCGCAAATTAAACACATTTTTCCACAAATAATCCAATTGAATCACTAATAAAATATGTATTTTCAAGCTTTTATCACCAAGCTTTTAACAAATGTCTCGACAAGTTGGGCATGAGTGATATCTTTGCACCAACTTGAGGGGGAGTGTTGACATTTCCTGATTGATTCTTTCCAAGCTGGTGTACGATCTGTTAATGCTCCAAGATTACTTTCTTCTACTTGTACAGAATAGATTAGAATCTCTGTAATTATTTAGGTAGTTTATTCTTTCCTAGATTTGTCTATTACGATCCTTAACTTTAGGATCTTACCATGTATAGTGGCTATTTATGCCAACATTGAGAAGAGCAATATAAGTTTTTCCAAAACCTTATTTTTGACTATTCATAGAAAAGAGCCCAAACCGCCTACGGGTTGAGGGATCCCTGAATGCGTCTTCATAGCCCATTAATGTTGAAATGGTGGGAAAACTCCAACACATAAAATGTAATTTAATAATTCTTGTAGAATTTTTTTTTTTTTTTGTATAATAATTTCATAACGTCGTTACATAGCACAGTCTCTTGAACAAATTGACAAAATATATGAAGCTGATTTCATCCAAAACATCAAATGTACAAATCAATATTATTTCAGTGATGAGCTAGAGCAATATTCGTATTCAGAAAATTATGAATATTTTCCTAGCCTTTGGACTAGGTAATTAATTAAACCTAGCTAGAAATTAATTTTAAGCTTTATTTGATTCGATTATGTAGAGGATTTCGATGTGATCTTGCTGTAAAAGTTGTGTTAGTTTTAAGACACATGCTATATGTAAAATTCATATAATTAGTTTATTTAATTACAATAATCCTTGGATTGTGTAAGATTATTCCTGCAACATGTATATAAATTGTTCACTTTTCACTTTTAATTTATCCCCTTATAAAATTTATCGCCACATGAACTCATGATAGGCTCAAGTGAAAGGGAGAAATTTACGATGCAATTAGATAATAAATTAACAATATTATTTCTTGCAAATTGCAATAATATATGATTAAGTCACATTATATAGTTTGACGTTTTGCAAAAATCTAAATCATTCAACAATTATTGAAGGTTTATAACTTGTCATATCATACATTAATATATGAATCAAATAATGATAGGCTCATTAATTCCTAATATGTTATATTGATTATATAATTCTAGTCTCCACATGAGCCAATTATGATAGTTTTCAGTGAAGAGAGAAACGATATAATTAGTGATCAAGTATATTGATTGTAACATAATTTCGATCTCATCATTGAAAGATCAACATTTTCATGATTGTATAAATGATTTTTCTTTAAAAAAAAAAAAAATTGATGAGAAATTAAGTTAAACCAGAAAACAAAAGCATATATCCACCCAAATTCTGATTTACATAATATTTTCCCTAAACTCTTTTTTTATTATTAATTCTTATTGTCCAAGTATTTTTTTCAGGAAGCACTTTAATTAGAAGTTATATGGAGCAAATAACATTTCACCATGGGAATGAAGCTCTCTCCCGAGGCAGAATATTTATCTGAAGGAGACAATCATGTGTCCCAGCTGATTTTTCAGGCGCAGAAGATTTCGTCAAAAAATCGCCAGACAAGATCTGTTTATAGAACAAATAATTGTCAAAAAAATCTTTCCTTAAATAATAAGAACTTAAGTAATTTATGGCAATTAAGCAGTTATGTCAGTAATAAAATATTAAAACAATGTGTACTTTCAAATAAGTTTTGTAAGATATGGGAGAAATTAATTCTTTTAATTTCGATCTATAGGATCTTTGTTAGTATCTACAAAAGTGAAAGCAAAATCTAAAGTGATTTTAACTATAAGATCCTGTTGTTGAAGCTTTTTTCAAGAACCCAATCTACCTAGATTTGGAAACATGCATGCATCGTTCACTTTTAAAATAAAAACATCCGTCTCACATGAACCAATGATAAGGTTCCAGTGATAAAGGGAAAAACGATGATAGTTTTTAATAAATTATTTTGGTTTCTGATCTCAAATTATGTCACATAATTAATTACATCTATCGATTGCAATTTAATGAAGTAATGATAGGTAGGCTCGAGTGAAGAGAGAAACTCGAGGTAATTTGTAATCAAGCAAATTGATTGTAACATTATTTTCCATCATTGAGAGCTTATAAGAATGATTGTATACATCATTTTTCCTTTAAATAATTCTATAATTTAATTTATGATATCTATTTATTTAAATATTTCTTTATGTTAATCCTTAAGGCATGCATTAGCTAGGTAAACCTTTCAATAGTTTTTTTTTTTTTTTTTTCAAAAAAATAGTTTAATAAGCCATATATTTCAAATATCTTACTCTCATACAAATGATAATTTCCTTAATTTTTTTTTTCTATGCATAAATCTAAGTAACAATAGTGTTTATAACTCATCATCTAGCAAAAACATAATGTCGAGATCAAATATTTTACATGAACTTAGTGTTTACTGCTATGTTCATGTAAATTGTGTACTTTTGTTTCAGAAACTCTCTAATTAGGTTGGTTTTCTTTTGAGGTTTTTGTTGTTTACATGTCAACCGATTCTAATTTCTTCCAAAGACCTCAAAGACTTTGATCTTGGTTATATATTTCAATCTACCAATTTCTTCCAAAGACCTCAAAGATATTGTGCTTTGTAATATATATTAATCGTTTCCAACTTCTTCCAAATTACCTCAAAGATTCCAAATTTCTTCCAAATAACAAGTCTTGGCGTAGGCTTTTGTTCACTTTCCATCAGGATCCTGAGCTTGTTAAGTTACTACCTAACAAAAACCAAATCAATAACATATGCTAAAAATAAATTATCCATAATTCAAGACGTTAAATTTAAGTAAAAAAATAAAATAAAATCGGAAGATATATTTATAATCCAATATGCAAATCTCCACATATTTTTTTCCTCAGAACTAGTATATTAGGTTCTTTCGTAACAATCACCAAGAGAGTAACACGCACGTTTATTGTACAGCTATATCAATAGCAATCATTAAAAGAGCAACACTCTTTGCTTTAGTTTGCAAGAGAACATAAAAAAGATAAATACAACTTCTTGTATAAAAGTAAAATTTTTGCGTTCCTCAAAAAAATTAGGCTAAAAGTAAGTTTTTGTGTCTCTTTCTCTCAACAAATTCTCTAACTTATAACTTCAATGTACATTTATAGCTTCTACATTCCTACCACTTTTCCTTTTTTCATTTAAAAAAAAAGGACTTTTCCAAAGAGGATCATCCAAAATGCGACCATTAATTCACGCTGGTCCTCTTTATCCCTTTTCCCTTTTTAGTCAAATTCTAGTTTCTCTTCGTGCGCTCCAAAAGCTTTAGTCGTCCTTAGATATTCTACTTTTCTTTGTGTTTGACTGTGATTTCTCCTATAAATTGTTGTGTCAAGGGCAGCTGGACAAAATCAAATTTGTATTTGGCATTTGGCATTTGTGTTGTAACTAGTTGAAGTGATGATTGTGCCAACTGGGTTCAGGTTCAATCCCACCGATGAGGAGCTCATTGAGATATTAGAAAGGAAAGTAAATGCGAAGCAAATGCCCCTCCATGACTGTTTCATTGTTGAAAGAAACTTGTATGAGCATGAACCAGAAGACCTTAAATGTAAGTTTTTCATCAAGCTTTCTTCTCCCTTCCACTACTTGAAATTTTGGATGCTCCGACGATGTACACCAACAATGGGGTTGGCGTCAGGGCACATTGTGCCTGTGCCGGTTTTCCGTCGGGACTGATCTTATTTTCAATGGTCAGGGACGGAGTCACTAAGGAGCCCCCACTCACCCTAGAAAATTCAGTTAATTCCCTCTAATTTGTTATTTCAATAATAAAAACTCTTTATTTTTATTTTATGAAAGTAGTATCGAGTCATATTGTCATAACTTTTTTTTTTTTTCTTAAACCCTGAATATATTTTTTAGCTTGTTTTTATTTTATTTTATTTTTTCCCTTCTATTACTGAATATATATAACAAAACTACCATTATTTTTAATAATTCTGAAATTCATTGTTTTTTTTTCAACTAAACTATCTTCATCTATTCAATTTAAAAAAAAAAAAAAAAAAATCTATATCTCATGTGTTTTATCTATATGGTCAGTATTTGTATATTTAATGTAAGAATTTTTAAGTTCCAAATTTTTTCTCTTAAGTTATCACCACCGAAAAAAAATCCCGGCTCTGTCAGCGCGAGTGGTGTTCTTATATTTTAACTATCTTTTCTCTAAATCGTTTTAAGTAATGTAGGTTTAATTTATTAATGAACTATTTATGTTGACAGGGGATCCAACCATGGCATTACACAAGAACGAGAGATATTTCTACTGCATAAGAGAGAATGATTCTCGAGAAGTTTCAGGTCGAGGATGGTGGAAAGCTACAAGCCATGTCAAGAAAATTTATTCTACTGAAACAAGTGTGGTGGGTTACAAAAGACCTCTCACATATCACAAATTTACCGGTAATAAAAGAAAGCGTAACAAAGCCATCAAGACCAATTGGATTATGTATGAATATAGCCTTGAATCCTACACAACGGTTTGTATTTTTAATTACCCATTTTATTAATTCTAATTTAATTAATATATTTTTTTTTTCTCTAGAGTTGTTTTTAAATTTTTGTTCGTGGTTTTTTTTTCCAGGAATGGAGACTATGCAAGATCAAATATAAGGGAAAACAAAGTGTGCAAGAAGAGTTGGAGAATATTAAAAGAGGATACAGATTGAGTAATGATATTTCTGAAGAAAATTGTTCAATAATGGAGATGAAGCCAGTTTTTGTTGAAGAAGAAGAAGAAGAGAAACAACAACAACCGCAATCTCTTGAACAAATTGACGCAATTTATGAACCTGAATTTACTCAAAACATGGAGCTTTATTCTTCATATGATCCAATCCTAACTCACATTACAAAAGATTATAATTTTGGTGATTATAATCAGCTGGAGCAATTGCCGTATTCATTAGACGAATTATTTCCGAGCTTTTGGTGAAAATAATTAATGTTCATGTTTAGTACTTTGTGCCTTTAATTTAGAATACAGTTTTGTAATTGAAGTTTTTTGTGAATTGAATTTATTAATTAAAGTGAATGTTACTGCTTTGAAATGTTTTATGGGTTTATAACAATTTCCTCCTCAACGTTTGAGGATGGAACGAACGCACCCAAAGGTTTCAAAAAGTAACAATGCACCCAAAAAAATTGATTACTTTACCATAATACCCTTTGTCTAATTATGTATTCTTTTCGGTTTTTATTTATTCATTTTTATATTAAGTACGTAAATAGTAATATATATTAACAAACTTTATATGATAAATTATAATTATAATAAATCTATAAATAGTTAAGTTATTACTTAATTTTATATAATAAACTAAAAAAAAAAACTAAATTTAATTAAATTAAATACTTAAAAAGATGAGTTAAATATAATAGGGGAGAGGGGATAAAAGGATATTAAATGCTATTGAAACAAAGTTTCAGATTCTTTTCAGTTTTTATTTCTTCAATTTTTATTTTTACTATATAAAAGTAGAAAATGAAATTGAAGAAATGAAAACTGAAAAGAATATATAATTAGAGAAAGTCTTTATCGGGAAAGTAATCAATTTTTTTGGGTGGCATTTATTTTTCACAAACCTTGTGGAGGAAATTGATATAAACCCATGTTCTTAAAAGTAGTAAAATCAATGATGGTATAGGTGAGGATTTCTATAAAATGTTGGTGTAGAAGTACAATATGCGATGAGTTAAAGTTTAAAGTTTAGTAGTGTTCGTAAGATATTCAAGCAATTTCATGCAAAACATGCAAAGATTTGTCACCACGTGAACCAATAATGAGTTTTGTGTACTTAAAAGGGAGAATCTAATCGAATTAATTTTGCTTTTTTCAAAAACAATACCTACATGTACTATTATACTAATTAGGGTTATTTGTTTAATTAGACACGTTACATTGGGAGAAGTAATGTATTATTTTTTTCGCAGTTTGAGGTTTGACCGAAGTAACTTTTAGATCCTTTAATTTTTGAAATTAACATTGACACTCCTAAGGGACCCTATGAATTCATTTTAATTTTTTAAATTAACATTGACCAAAGTCAGGATTGTTAAATCAATTTAAAGTGCATAAGGAATACTTCTATGCTTTTTTTTTTTTTTTTTTTTTAAATGTTTTTAAAGATAAATAAATAAATAAGCTATCAATTTCTCCACATTATCCCTCAAACCCCAAAAGTTTTCTCTTTTAATGTACATATTCTTCTCAAAGTCGATCGATAATTCTTTTTAGAAAATATAACGAATTTATTGTGTGGTATTAATAACAAGAAGGAAAACCAGAAACCTGAAAAATAGCAACTCACAGATTAGTAATCATAAAAACTTGACTCGCAATTCCTTTAACGGTGTATGTCAATGTTACTTTCAAAAAATTTATGTCTAGATTGGGTTAGTCAAACTTCAAGGGGGTTGAGGTAATTTCCCTTCTGAAAAAAAAAAAAAAGAAAAAAAAAAAAATCTAAACTAACAATTGTCGAAGCTCCCTAAACATTTCATAATGAATCAATGATAGTTTTAATTTCAGTGAAGAGAAAAAAAAAAATGATTACTACTAAAGCAAACTGATTATAACATAATTTTGCCATCATGAAAGATAAAAATTAATTTACAAATAGAAATGGTTGTATGCATGATCNAAAAAAAAAAAAAAAAAAAAGAATCTAAACTAACAATTGTTGAAGCTCCCTAAACATTTCATAATGAATCAATGATAGTTTTAATTTCAGTGAAGAGAAAAAAAAATTGTTATGCCTAAAAAATACAAGGGCTGACGTAAGGTCTAGTCAGCATGCAAAAGTCAGATCATGAGAATGCCCACAGTCTGCTCCTGTCAGAATAGTGGACGCGCACCAGGCCAACCAAGAGCTGTGATAATCCCACATGTCCAATCACTACTCCAAATCGCGCAAATCACTATAGAAGGTGGGCAATGTGACATAAAGAAGGATTTTGCGCGGATAATCTCACCAACCCACAGATTCAGTGACGATTGCCTCAATCCATTCCTCTATAAATTGAGAGCCCCTCTCTCATTGAGGGGGATTCGCATATTTTACATTTGATTAGCTACTCTCTCTCTCTCTCTCTCTCTAGGGTTTTCAGTATTTGATACCTTGTATCACCATTGTAAAGTCAGTCAGCTAAAGCGACCTAACCCTTATAATCAATATAAGTATCAGTGGACGTAGGACTTGCTACCTTAGCATCCGAACCACTTTAAAAATTGTCCCCATTGCATTTACTGTCATTTTCCTTTAAATTCATGTGTGCCTTTTGGGCTAGCTCAACATTTCACACGTGCATCTCGTTGGTGTAAAAATCACGCATTAACAGTTTAACGCTAGAAGGAGGGCCTGATTTAGTGTTCATCCTTCATCAAGAGAATCTCTAACTTATCGGTCTTACAACAACAAATGACCCGCCAACTAGAACCTGAGCAAACCAACCAGGACGTCGAGGGGCTCCCCCAAGTCCAAGGGGACACTTCTTCCAAAAAACCTTTAGCCCTGCAAAATGCTCCTGGGGATATCTCGTCAAGTTCACAGCTTGACCCCGCCATCAAAAGCTACTTGGAGAGGTTTGACAATACTCTCCAGACAGTCAGCCGAAGGTTGGACCGTTTGGAACAAGGCGTGCCATCCAAGTCAGCTGCGGCGGTGCAACCGCCAAAAACGCCTACAAGTTGCGCAAAAGTGCTGCAAAGGGAAATAGCCGGTGCTGCGAGCACTGTAGCGCGTAGACGAAAGGGTAAGCAAGTGGCAAAAAACAAGCCCACTGGCTCCAAAGGGCCAGCAAACACCGACCGCGTCCCAAACAGAATACCAGTCTCACTGAGACTCCGAGAAAAGACGCAGCACGAGCTGTCCCGTGCCACGTCGCAAGTACACACCACAAAAGTGCTGGACGGGGCGATTCTTATCACTGCCAGTAAAATGATCCTGATCGTCACCGTGCAAGAGGGTCCCACACTTCGCGGGGCTGTTCTTACCACCGCGAAGGTTGTGAAAATACCCCACACCTTTCGTTGCCATCACACGCCTCTAGCCAGCGTGTGTCGAGAGTGGCTGGAACTGTTGGCCAAGGCAAAGAGGAACCCGACCTCCGAACTTTCCTCAATCATAATCGCGAGGGTTGAACTCGTAGGGGTGAAAGCAATCCCCAACCAGCTCCATTACCACAAATTGAGGAGCTGCAGCGAGCTCTAGACAGACTAAGAGCTCAGCAAAATGAACAGGGGCAGGTCGCATCTACGTCCCCCTTCTCTCCCGAAGTGCTAGCCGCTCCACTCCTACTAGGATTCAGGATGCCCGACATGTGGGCGTTTGATGGAAATTCTGATCCACAGGATCATTTATATGAATTTAACGACCTGATGGAGCTTTACCAGGTCTCAGATCTAGCAAAATGTCGTTGTTTGGTAGTGACTTTGACCTCTCATGCCAAACGGTGGTTCAGGTCACTCCCAGCGGGATCTATCAGTTCGTGGCCTCAGATGAGCGCGACGTTCCTAAGGCATTTTCAAGCAAATCGAAAGTTCTCGATGCCTTTGAGCTACCTCAGCAATATAAGGCAAGAAATGGATGAATCCCTCCAGTCCTACATTGACCGTTTCCATAGAGAACTCAACAAGGTGGCTCATACTCCCGAAGAGTCTGTTCGGACTCTCATCATAGCCGGAGTTCGTCCACAAACTGACATGTGGAAAGAATTACAGGCTGAGGACGATGTTTCCCTCATAGGATTCTATAACCTTGCGGAGAAGTACATCCGGATAGAAAATTCATTAGCGGCACTACGCCATCACGATCCCGACGCTTCAGGCAGTATGCCTGGTCGGGGGGATAGTAGAAGAGTTGATCGCAGAGGGGACGTTGACGATCAGTGAAAAGGGAAAAAAACCTCGTTATGAGCCCAAAAAGTCTTATGCTCCTGTCCCTCATCTGCGATCGCGACAAAAACCAATATAACTGAACGCATCTGTATCGGCTATTCTTGATAGATCCAAGGAAGCCAGCCTACTCGGAGAGCCAGAGCCCATGAAAACTCCCGCAACAGCAAGAAATAATAAAAAATATTGTCGGTTTCATCGGGACAATGGGCATCACACAGATGAGTGCCGAGCTCTAAAATAGGCAATCGAAGAGCTCATCAAGAAAGGGCACTCCAAGGAGTATAATGAAGACTTTGCTCTCGCGCAAGAGAAGAGTCAAGGGGAGCAAGGAAAAAAACGTCGTGATCGCAAAGGGTATAGTAGTGTTAACATAATCTTTGGAGGGCCGCACCTCGCCGGGAACACGCGAGGTGCCCAAGAAAGATATGCTCACGAGGCTCATCATGACCCAATTAGGGTGATGAACACGTCACAACGACCACAAAAGGTTCGCAAGGAGGAGCTAATCGCCTTCTCCGAAAAGGATGCGACTCACTTGTATCATCCTCACGACAATGCTCTTGTGATCACACCCCTCATAGGGCACTATAACGTCCGCAGAATGCTAGTGGATAGCAGAAGTACTGTGAACATCCTGTTCCAGGACGCTTTCGAAAGAATGAACTTAGACGAGGCTGACCTGAAACTCGCCTTGATCCCTCTTTATGGTTTTACAGGGGACCATCTGATCCCTAAGGGAATGATCCAACTCCCAGTCACGCTGGGTAACTATGATGAAGTGACTAAGGTTATTGAATTCTTGGTCATGGACTGCCCATCTGCCTTCAATGGGATCTTGGGGCGACCTATACTATCTAAAGATGAAATTCCCCACCCCGACGGGGATAGGGAAAGTTAGCGGATCTCAAAGCGCATCTCGCGTGGTATTCCCCGACAGGCTATAGCGATCAGTCGGATCAAGCCACAGCCTGGCCCAACAGAGGATAATATAGATCCTTGAATTCAGGAAAGCCCTTCCAGTGGGCCAGTTGGGGATT